TGGCTGTCAGAAATATCATCACGGATGCTAGCCAGGAACGATCTTAACTCTCTAGCCTTCTTTGATGTTCAAGTGATACGTGTCAAGTGATACATCACTTCTGAGTCACTTGAATCGATCTGAATTATTATGTTTTGACTGTTTCCGTTCTTGAAATGTGTAAACATTACGAGAAGGAGCTTGTGGAGGACTCAAGAGATCAATGATTTTGTTCTCAGCCGGAACATGGTTGGCTGGGTGGCAAGACCTTGTGGCATTGGAATCAGCTTCCCTTACCGAGAGTTCAACATGCGGTGAATGCTTGTCCATGACGTTGTCATTAATAGCATTTATGTTTTCTGGTATTACTACTTTGGAGGAGATTGAAGTACTACATGAGGAATAACTTTCTGGTTCCACACCCAGCACCAAGTTTTGAAGTTCCAGAGTAACTTCAGGCAAAGAGGATAATCTATTTTTGGATTTCTTCTGCCTTGGTTTACAACAGTTTTGTTTCTTTTTTCCCATAGCTTTTATCTCCTCAAACTCCTTGATCTTCTCAGGACAAGCACTATTGATAAGCCCAGCACAACAGAGACAATACAACAAAATTGACATTCACTCTAAATCCGAGAAATGTGATTCACATTAGATAAAAGTAACCACCGAATTTTAGATACCTACCTCTTTATCACGTCTGCTGGAACAATGGAGGTTTTAAGTCCATCAAACTCTTTCCATGACACTTCAAAACATTCTTTTCCCTGTATTTTCCTACTCTTTATAATTTCTGATACCGGACACTTGACCGGTATCTGCAGTTGAATCAATTTTGATAGCAGAGCAGAAGAGATAATAAGCTCAATATATAAGTACCAAGTGTAAGCACCATCAACATCATCGTAGAACAGTTAGTACCATGTACAGAAATATAACAGCAAATGATCAGGATCTTCTACAGAGAATAAAGTCAAAAGTAGCCGAGTAACACAAGATTATAGAGATAAATCAACAGCTAGCTACAGGAAAAGAAAAAAAGGGAAAGAAAAAAAAGAGCTGTACCTTGTCAAGTGGAAGCTTAACTCCTAATTCTGATGAAATAGACCGTAGAAAAGCAAATCGACGCAGCTCTCTTTCAGCAATCTTTGAAAGGATGTAGTCATCTGAGCCAACAATGTCAAAATAAGCTTACGCACACAGTTAAGACAGATGCTTATCAATGTGGACATCAGAAAAGGCAGAAAAGTGGGGATTAAGAGGCAAACAATTGCAAGTAAACCCGTAAGCCCAGAGGTAACTGAATTCGAACCATCTCCTTTTGGTTAAAAAAATATTACATTCTACAGTCGTATTTTTAATTGGTTAGAGTCAATAGCCAGATCCTTTTACTTAAAGGAATAGTACAGACGTATTCTTATTTTGTTGGTGTTAATAGCCAGACCATAAACTCCTATATATAACTAAACAAACTTCACTAGGACATCGGTATAACACTTGCATTAATAATCAAGCAACTATTACTTTTGCATATAAATTTAGGAGCAAAGGAAGAGACCTGTTTTCTCAGGAGGCCACTCAAACCACTGAGCACATATCTCTTGAAGCTTGGCATGCTGAAATGGATGCTGAGCAAGAACCCTTAAAAAAAAAAAAAGGCTTGAGTACCACATAATAAGACATGAAATACGACGAGCCACAAATATTAGGGAGCATCTGGAGGAAGAAACAACACTATCATGTTAGTAGAAGCTAGCCACTTCTTTCTGCCTAGTAGTGCATTGGGATGGAAGGCAACAGATATCAGTACAAACAACAGCAAGAGGGAGGATCAATGCATGTAAATTTACCTGTAGACTGCATCAGAACCTGCTGGGTGGCACTTGGGCTTCAAATATGCATTGATTACTTGCAAAAACTGATTTTCACCTTTTGAATTAAGGTCACTTCCTAGCAAAACCATCAAGTGTTAACAAGGATTCAAAAACTTTGAAGTGGTAATTTGCCATTTTATAAATTATAAATTCTTATTGACTACAAATAACTGTCATACTCCAATTATGTCTGCGCTTCAATTGTGATAATAACTAATATAGCCTCCTAAACTGCTAAAACTATTATCATCTCTCAAGCACAATTTTCTCAAGTGAACTGAGTCAAAAGATAAGTTCTATGGTAATGATAAAAGAGGAATTTTGTTTTATTTACCATTCGTATTAGGTTCAAAACTATATGCATTTTCCCCATTAGCACACTTGAGAAGTTGAGCCGGTTTCTTTGAATTCTTTGACTTTTTCACAAAGGACAGTCCTTCTGATGCAATTCGCCTAAGGACAACCTCATCTCCAACTGATTTAACAATTTGGCAAGCTGATTCCTGTAATCATGGGAGAGAACCAAATACAAGCATTTAGTTTCCAATTTAGTTCATATTTGACAAGCCCTTGAAAAGAAGGAAAAGAAATATTCAATAAGAGTCCATGAATGAAATAATTAACACACCTGACCCAGACCATGAACTCCTTGAGAATAATCACCCCCAAGAAGAAGGGCAAAAGTAATCTGGAGATCACAAAACGATAAATTAGGGAACTTTATACTTGAGAAGTAAATTCAATCTCGCTGCAAAATGAAATGCAACTTATATAGATTAAAACTAAAGCTGACCAATATGTTTCATCTGTAGTTTCAAGAAAATAGATTATTACCAATGAATTCCTTCCAAACCCAAGCTTTGTCTCAATGTCAGCCATTTCATAGCAAACGACATAACCTCCATCCCCTAGTTCATGTCAAAATGGTAAGCCAAACGGGTGGTAACAATCCAAAGGGGTAATGAATCCTTGTCTTTCATGTACTAACCAAGACAAATATCTCTGTACACTGTCCTTGCACCGAAAAGGAAGATATCCGAATCTGAGGTGAAACATCCATCCTGATAGTAATCATAATAACAATATTGATCCAAAAATATGGATTTATATTTTAATAAAACGTAAGGTACCAACTGAGCACTTGAGGCTGACAGGTAAAAGAACAACTTACGCATAAGGACTCAGAGTTTAATAATGCACATTGGGCTTCAGCTTCTTCAATCCTGCATTTAGGGGAAATAATGGATAAAAAAGTCCTTAGTTATCAATTAAACAGAGAGAATAAAAGAATATCAGGAAATAAATAAAGTTTTATTATTTTTTTTAAGAAAAACTAAATTGAAGATTCTTTATACTGAGGTTTCACTTGGAGGCTCGTAGCCAACAATTTATATTCTCACCAGAAAAATGATTAATCAATTCATAACTCTAGCTCAAACCCAAAAAGTTGAGCGACAAATATTTCTGCACCCAGCACCCTCTTGCCTTGTGAGTGCTCAAGCAACAAAGACTACTAAGAAGAAAACTACCTTGGAATTAAAGTTTGACCCGTGCTTTAGTAAATTGATTAATTATTCACAATCCCAATGGTAATAATTCTGAAGCTTTTTAACCTTACAGTAGGACTTACCATAATCAGTTGAAGCCAGGAATTTTTTTTCTTTTGAAACAAGCCTATCAAAAGCCAACATGTTTCTTGGTATCTTAGAAAGACAAAAGTAAAACTCTAGCACCATTACCCATCCAAGCAAGGGATTCCAAGTGCTAATCCAAGAAGTTTTGCCTCTTTTATCATGCATGAGAACTCAGATCCTTTATTTCGTTTAAGTGAAGAAGCCACTTGTGAGTTCATCCCATCCTGAATAGTATGGCATGCCCGATCATTTAACTTCAGTTAGTATACAGGAAAACCTTTCCATGTCAAAATAGTAACAGAACGACCAAATTAAAAAGAGAAATTATGAACTTTGCTTGATTAGGCTCTCTACCTCACATCCAGAGTTTAATCGTCGTCTATAAGTAGATAACTTTATGGCAGGAACTGATCCATCTATAATCAAAATATAAAACACAGGATTTTTTAGATGATAATTGCAACTTAATTAGTCCCTTATCAAGGAAATACCCGCATGAAGCTTTGTCAAGTTTTAACACAATGAAAACCAGAAGCTAACCTGTGACAAGGATGATGCTGCAATTCAAAGCAATGAGAGCCCTTAGGCGGTGAAAGAGGCCTCTGAGATGGAGCTTTTCTTTGTTGGCACAGTATGACTTGTTCACGTTTTGCAGTTGAACCATCCAACAGGAAAGATCTACGCACACCCTCTTGTTCCTAACAATACGCAATTCAGAAACAAAAGAACAGACAAAAATGGATGAGCAAAGGGGGGAGAGAGAGAGTGAGAGAGAAATGAAAAAAGAACTATATGGTCCGTTTCATCGCCGAGAAAATTTCAGGGAGAGGAAAAGGGAGTGGAATCTCACTGGAGATGATGAAGTGGGAGGGTTTTCTTGCACGATTCTAGAATGTCCCACAAGTTCTTCACTCCCATTTCTCTCGCACAGAAGATAACAGTGTTTTCGTTTGCGAGGGCAAAGCTACACAAGGTCGAATTTTGTATTGTAATTCAACAAAGAATACGACTTTGAAATTCAAATTCGAATTTCTTCTTGTCAGCGGAAACTAAAGTAGAACTTGTTCGAGCGAGTCTCATGGGAGGTTACCCGTAAATGCTACGACTTGCCATTTCTTACATACTGGGTTTCGGCTGTAAGTCGCCTGGACTCCTAATACGAGTCCAAACAAATTACGATATATTGATTCTTTTTTTAAAACATAAATTTGAGAGTTATGTCTCGCATCTTATAAACACTATGCTGTGTTTATTGCTCAATAAACTTGGTGGATTAATTTTTTGATTCAATTACTGTGGCAATAATCCCACGTATATACATAAAAATCCACCATTTTTCTTTTCAAAAAGGTGGGAAATTTCCCAATTAAATGGCTCCCAACGTGGATTTTTCAGAATAATTACCAATAATCAGGTCGATATGTTTTGAAATATTGGACAAATTAACTTTATCATTGTATTGACTCCACGAGCTAATGATTAATGCTCCGACCATATCATTTACATGTTATTCACTTCGATATCTTGCAGGGACTACTAAAACGAAGATTGAAACTGAGTAGAGTCTTTTGTTTCTTTTTTCTCAAGAGAATAAACACTGATTACAATTTTGAGTCATTTAATGGAAGAATAAAATTGACTCAAGCGCCTGCTATGCAACTTCAACACCGTATATGCTAAGTTGTAGTAATCGGAATTAGATTTTAAAATGGGCGCAAATTTATTTCTCTGGCAACTAAGCATTAAAAACTGAGTCTTTAGATGTATATGAGACTATCTTTAGCAGAGGTCAAACCAGATTTCACAAGATAAATCCAACCCAAATAACATAATCCTTCCCTTAATGTCCCATAGGATGGTTCCCCAGATATCCGATTTCTGCACTTGGGTCTTCCAACAACTACTCCTTGTCAACATTGTCACCTGCAGGAGCCTCCACAGTTTCAATTGTTTTGCTTTCGGATGGAACATCTTCAGCAGGTTTAGCAGCTTCACGTTCAATAGATTCTGCAGGTTCAGCTGTGGAGGCTCCGGCTCCTTCTGATTCTCCAACAGCCTTCTTGATAGTTCCCACCTTAACATACTTGCTCATGAACTTGTATTCCCAATCCTGCAATGCCTCTAATTCGAAGGGACCAAGACCCGAAATATCCCCAGTTAAATCTTTTTCTTCAAAGGACATCTTTGCAAGAGCTCTGCTGGCGTCCTTCCCGGCAAATAGTGCATAAGGCCCACCGGGTCCATAGAACATTCTGCAAGAAAGGATTGATTGATGTAATAGCAACTTAGGAGTTTTGGTCAGGGACTGGGATAAAAGGGGGTGGGATGAGAGGGAAATCAGCCTTAAATCTTTCTCAAATCAATCAACATAGGTCACTTGATATAATCAATTCTCGACCCCATTAACACAGGTTACTTCGAGATATAATCAACTAAGCTATCCATTTATGTAGAGTATCATAAGTTCTTGCAAAAATCAGGATCAGGATCAGCTAGCATCTTCTGCACAACTTCTTCCAGAAATCACAAAAGGAACAGGAAAATTTTCAAGTTTCACCCAATATGCCATCATCTACAATGTAATATTTTAAAGGCATATTGTGTTTTAAGATAATAGCAGATGAATCTGTTAAAGACAATAGAGGTTACTTATCAAGCTACCATCCATCCGAAATACTTCCTGAAGTGAGATCCTATTGCCCTCCATGTTCATCACCTTCTGTGCATGAACATAAGCTGCAGGAACACAAGCTAACCAACACTAAGCAAAATGAATTTTGAGTAAGGCAATGCCCAACATATCAGGCAAAATGCTGCAAACATATAACAACAAGCACTCGCAGGATACATGTAGGAACATGTAGAAAGGGCATGAAGAAGCGGGAACAGTGAATACAGAAAACAATCAAAACACATAAGTTATTCCTGCTTTCAGCCGGGGAATGGATTCAAATACTAACCTTTTGATAGCAGGTGATTTAATTGAAAATGTAAAAAATTCAAAAATAAAAAATACAGTATTTGCAGCAATCCATTAGTGCAGTAACAGCATGTTCCTTAAAAAGTCCCAAACATCTAGTCCCACAAAATGAAACTTTTGAGTTGAAAGAAAAATATCTCATGCAAATAGTAGAGACAGTACTCTCGCATATGATCAACATTTTTTTATTCAAAGGTTAAAACTGACTGGTGATTAATTTGCAGATGACAGATGACAATACTGTTATAACATTTCAGGGAGAACAGGACTGAAAGGCATATGGAAGGTTTGGGCCTTTAATCAAATGGTAAAAAAAAATCAGTAGCAGGAAGTTTTTGGTAGAAAAACATGAAGCTCTAAAAAAACAAAGTAGAATACACCACATAGACCAAACTAAAACCCCCCAACCCCCCTGAAAGAAGGGCAGAAATTTGTATAAGAGAAAAAGGTGCAAGACTTCCACCCCTCCACCCCCCTGAAAAAAAAAAAGCTCTTTAATTGACAAATTAAAGCAGATTAGGGAACCCTGTTTTCCAGGAGACGTAAAAAAAGCTAAAGCTAATAGAAAAAAATTAAAAAAGGGACAAAAACAAAGAAGGTTCGCCTAAAAAAATAACTTCAAAGCAATAAACTTTGTGCGCAAAAGCTATAACCCGTACAAAAAAGATAAGCAAATCAAAGCCTTAGATTAACAGAAGCTGAAAATCCACTGAAAAAGGTTTTTTAAAAAATTGACTTTTAAACAAACGAAAGGGAAAAAAAAAAAAACAGCATGTTTACCTGCTCTGCGAAACATCATAGATCTGACCCTTAATAGCCATAAGGAGAGGCTTCTTGGGATCGGCGCCGTCGTATTGCTTGAGCTCGTCCTCTGTTATTTCGCCGAGCTGAACAGGAGGCGGGAGCGGCTGCATATACTCCTCGACAGACCTGGCTCTTTGCTGAGGCGGCGATTCAAAAAACCCAGACACCAAATGGTAGACAGCCAAAGCCAGAGCTAGAACTGTGAAAAACGTCGCAGGAGAGAGACCCGTGTAGGCTGTGATTGATTCCTTCAGAGTCTCCCATAGTTGCAGAGCCATGGTCCAAAACCCAATCAAAGAAAGAGAGAAAGAGAGAGAGAGGTTATGATTTTTATCTAATCAACTCGGGTTTTGGGTCGGCTACCAAATTACCAAAATATTTATTTGATTATAATTTTTAATTTATGATAATTCCCTTTAAAATAATTATTATTTATTTTTTTACATTCTTTAAATTTATAACATTACTTTAATCCGTAAATTCTTTATAAAATCATATAAATTCTCTCAATTTTCATATTTTATCTCCTACATATAAAAACTAAAAACTTAAACTAATAAAATTGAGGAAAATAATTGATTTATTTTATTAAAGTAAAATAAATTTAGGATATTAAAAAAAGATAAAATATTATATATTTAAATATTTTTAATTAATTAAAAGAATATCCTTGAGAGATGAATATTATATATTCAAATATTTTTATAGAAGAATTTTAACTTAAATTATAATTAAAAATAATTAGTTTTGGCGTGATTGGTAGGTGAACCATCTCAATTATCAAAAGTTGGTGGATGCAGAAACACATGCATGATAATAATATTAAATTTTCCAAATTTTTAATTAAATCATTAAAGTTATTTTTAAATTTCTACATTTAGTAAAAAATAATAATTTTTATTTATTTTGAATGATCCATTTTCTAATATAAAAAAATATCAAATGTCTTTAGATATTTAAAAAAGCTTAATACATAATCTTAACTAATTAATTAAATTTTAAAGACTAATTTAATAAATTGTCTTAGTTTTTTTTTTTTATCAAAAAGATAAAAAAAAGTTGAAGACTTGGGGATTTTTAATTATTGAATTAGACGAGTCTGATTAGGCGGCATTAATGCTGTCTTAATATATAATTAATGATGGATCAGTCAAGTTTTAGGACATAAATAAAGCCTAAACACAATTATTGTAATTTTCGTAAGAATAAAATAATTTATTATCCAGTGAATACGCATGGAAGAGTCATATTTATTTTATATTTAAATATTTATGTCTTAATCACATATATTTTTTTTCATAAATTTATATTTAAAAAATCAATTAACCTATTATTCTTTAGAATACATATTCTTTACCAGACCCTGGTCAAAGTGAGAAGAAGAAAAAGGCCACCCAAAAAGTGGATACGTACAGTGAGTGATATATATGGCGTAACAATACCACTCCCAATGTTGCAGACAATGGAAAAATGATAATTGATAGACCCTCTAAAGAAGGGGATGAAGAAGAACGTCTTTTATACATGTGTATGAGTATATATATATATATATATGTGTGTGTGTGTGCGTGTGTGTGTGTGTGTGTGTGTGTGTGTGTGTGTGTCTATATATATATATATAAGTTGCCAAGTTTTTTTATTCTGCTTCTTACATCAATTCTGAAAATGAGGAGAACAAAGAAAAATAAGCTACCAGGATTCTCAATTGTGATTCCCAGATTCTACAACGTAATTAACTAAAGAGAGCAGCTCACCCCCTCAAAACTTCCAATACTCAGAGCGCCAGACAGCTTGCCTCATCTGCTTTCCACAGTCCTTCCTCGTACTTGTACCACCTCATCAGTCCTTCGTCGGTTTTAGTTCTTTGGCACATAATGCAATTGTCTTCCATACAAGTCAAGAATTCGCGTAACCTAGAAGCCTTCTCTAGAATAGTCTTATCAATCTCCTTGATAACTCGCTTTTGTGCAGGAGGCGGTTGGGACTCCACCAGAAGGCAGTGCGATATGTTAAGCACTTCAAGGTTTGGTAAGCCATCCAAGATTATGAGCAACGCGTCCCTATTCAGCATCGAGCATCGAAGGCTCAAAACCTTTAAGTTCGGAAGATATTCTGTCAGTGTGGTGGCAAAGTATTTATCAAATAGGCCCATCACCTTGAGTACACTGAAATTTTTGCAGTTATTGGCAATTTCCTCCATGATGTATGGCGGGTTTGCTATGCTAGGCATTGTCAGGGATTCGAGATCCGGCCACATGCGAACAGCCCTGCATATTCCAGTCTTCTTTATTCTGTTCCAAGCTGGCAAAACAAGGCGTCTGAGCCGAGGACACCTGCA